TTGCCCCCCCCCCCCCCCCAGTTTGTCTTAAATTGCTTATGTACCCAACCTGAGCTAAATGAGACAGCAATGTTTTACCTAATATATATATACCACAACCAATCATCATGGTAATAGAAACTACTGGATCAACCTGTATGTGAATGTAGACTAACTGTTACTAATATAATAAAACTTGTTTACAATAAATCTGTTGGCTCTGTCACTATTTACAAAAACAAATCTTAACCACAAGTCTCATACTGCACATATGAGGACTGCAAAAAAAGATGTTGACCAACTGTTGACAAAATGCATATTCCACTTAAGCGCACCTGCCTCTAAATGTCCCAGTATTTGATTCAGTTGAATTCAGAATTAGATTCATTTACCAGCCTTTTACCTACCTATACCCTCTTAACAATGCATGTACCATCAAACTTGACATGAAAACATTGCAGTGAACAGAAACCCTGGAGATTCACCCCTATTGTACACACATTCAATACAAGAACCCTATGGCCTTCCAATACCATGTGGCAAACACTGAAAAACTCACCTGCGTCGAGGGTAAACATCAAAAGCAAAAGTATCGGTAAAGAAATACATAATCCATGTGTTGACTGTAGGCACTTCATATTTGGTTCTTCCTTATTAGTAGTCCCTCTTTGAACATCAAAGGGTGAAGCCCCAGTGGCGATATGTGCCTACGTCCACATGTGCCGTCTGCCTCCCGTTACATCTGATTTGTGAGCAGGGATTGCTTTTTGTTAAATAAAATGATAAAACCTGAGCTAATCTGCTTTCAAGGAGAGCCGGTACAGTATAATGCTATTGGGGAGCCAATGCCGAGTTCTTTCTGTGGATCTTTTCATTTTCCTGAAATGTTATATTGTAGTAACTTAAAGTGGCCAGGATATTTCTTAGGGAGAACTCAAAGAATTATGTATCAATGGAATTCATGTTCCAATGATTTCTTGGGGAGAGTCTGAGGAACATTATGTGTATCTGATTTTCTTCCATCTGGTAAGATAAATCAGTGGCACAGCTGCTTGCAAACTCTTTTGCAGTTTATATCATAACTAATGTTTTATCTCTTGTGTCCATTCCTCTCTCTCTCTCTCTCTCTCTCTCTCTCTCTCTGTGTGTGTGTGTGTGTGTGTGTGTGTGTGTGTGTGTGTGTGTGCATGGACCTAATGAGAGAAGGCCTCTCATTAGGTCATTTGGTGTGTGTGTGTGTGTGTGTGTGTGTGTGTGTAACTGTTTGAATATGATTTTTTCAACTGTAAAGGTCTTTACAATTGTAGCAAAGCCAATTAAAAAATTAAATGTCATTTCACAATTTATTTTATAATATCTGAAAAAATTTAAATCCAATATTTTTTCATGCTGTCAAATGACATGCAAATTTTGTAATATGTGTTCATCAAAATCATAGAACTTTGAAACATCAGACCCGTTCTTGGATACAACTTGCAGGCATAAAGCCACATTTATCATGGCGGTAAACTAGTACTGGAAAACTAAAGATAAGCCAGGCCCTGAAAAGACTCCAAGTCATCGCAGTTGCCTGGGCCTTCTTTTATCAAACTAGCAAATCATGACAATTCTAAGGAATTAAAGCACCTTTTATTCTTGCTGAGAAGCATGAAAATGAACAAATCCCTAGAGGTTGTATAGTCCTATATTTCAAATCCCCAGGGTCGTGGTAAAAGTTGTACCTGGAAAAAGTTGTAAATAAACACAATGGCTCAAAGTTGTCTGACTGTTGTGTCATATAACAAATCATGAATTATTGTTTGTTAATCAATAATTCCTTTTAAACAGAAACGCATCCCAGAAAAAGACAATGGGAGACACATTATTCCTTTTAGAAATAAGAGCAAATGCGTTACAGTACAAGCAAATATATTTTGCTGTGAAACCATTTTCCACTTAAACCTATATTCAACTGAGATGTGTGGATTAATTGTTATAAAAAATAAGAATGATTAATGAAACACAAACCAAACAGAGGTTCAGACAAAAGATATCTTTTTGTTGCATAGCATTTTAAAGAACTGCGTCTCTCTGCAATTTACATTTGAAGAGTTGCATTTGTTAGGTTGCAAAAAAAGTGAATCTTTACATGTATGAATAAAAATATACAAACATTTGAACTATGCGCTGATCAAATGCTTTATATGCATAAAGATTGAAAATAGGTTAATGCAATAACACATAAAGAGTGCCTTATGTGTTATTGCATTAACCTATTTTCAATGGATTTTTTTTTCACGAAGCAAGCTAACAACTTTGAACAAATGGCAGTGCAGTGTACAATTTATTAATGCCACCTTTTCCTACTTCGAGAACACGCAAGAAATATGTGAGAAAAATACCTAAATCTCCAAGCAAAGACACAAGGACCATGCAATCTTACACACACACAGTAAAGGTTTAAAAATGACTGGAGATTAATCTTACTATTGATTATTATACATCTGGGAAAACTTCTCTCTGTTGGGCTGAAAAGGCTTTCGTTAAGTAAATAGGTATACAAGCCATCAATCAATTCTACATAGCTGAAGAAATTAATCACCGCAGACTTCTCCATTTAACATGTAGTTCTGTCGGGTCACGGAGGAGAAAAACGGCCTCGATGACACAACTGGGATTACGTCAATGGGTGACCTGTGATGGAAGTCGAAGTTTCAAGTACGTGCAAAGCTATCAATCAAAAGTTCTGAATTCGTAACATGAACTTCAAGGTGGTGTAAAAACAGTATACAATCAGGATGGAGAGAATTTTCTCCTCCACCCTTTGCAGATTTATCTCAATAAAAACCGGTAGCAAAATACTTAGTCCTAGCCTTTATAAATATTCTCAATACTTTTTTCAGTCATTATCAAACAGAAAGTATAGTTTATATATGAGTCTTATCAAATTCGTTGAAACAAGTTCAATCTATTTTCTTTTTCATTTTGGTAGACTGTAGTCAACTGTACAGTAGTTATTCTAAAGTCGTTAAGTGTGGTTTATATGTCCACTTTTGGCATTGGTTAAACCATTCAAGATGACAATCGAACACAAAAAAACGCAATTACCTCTCCACAAGAACCGATCCAGTTGTAAAATAAACCTCTCGGTATGAAAGGGGCTAAAATCGCTTCTCCTCATCATCCAAACACTCTTGATCTAGAGATGATATTATCCGCTTGCGGTTGGTTGTGATTGCGTAGCAGCACAACTAGCGCATTCTCAACAAATTTGTGGTCCTACATTAAAGTGGAAATAGAGTTCGATGGGGGAGGAGAAACAGCAATTTATCTTCTTATGATACCAGTCAGTATTTTTTATTGATGATCTGTGGTGTGCTCTCGTTTAGCCGTATTTTTATGCCTGATATAAAGAACTGCGTGCATTTTTGACAGCGACCCATTTTGTAGAATTCGTATTAATTTCCCGTTGTTTTGCCAATGCTATAATTGTTTATTTGATGAGATCAAGCGAACTTTTTTGGGTCAGTTTAAGCCTTTTAAAAAAACTCATACATGGATTTTTGTTGAAATGAAAATTGCTTGGATCACCGATCTCACTTGAAAGAGCCATCCCAGAAAGAAATGCAGTTTTCTGGTCGAATCACTTACTTTGAACCAGGTTGCTTCCGACTGTGCCGTGTTTGATTTGTATTTCCACTTAAAACAAAATTTCCGACAGAACTACCAACATTTTATGATCTTTAATTCGTTGTAAAATTTTAATTATAATATTTGTATAAACATAGAATGTTTTAATAATTTTAATTCTGCAAAAAATGCGTCAAGAACTGCATCTTGAAAAAAAATGTTCTATAACGACCTTCGAAAATGGATCGGTTCAAAAATTTTAGAAAAAAATAATAATAACAACTGGAGACTGGTATGAGACCACTAGTGACAGTTACCCTCATATTTCCTCTGGTGAAAAATACCATGACACGACCCCTTTCGAGAGTAAACTAAATGATATTTTACGTGATGTTCACTTGTTGATCCTGGAGCATTCATTCTGCATCCAGAGCGATGTTCGCGCGTCCTTTCTGAGCGGCCTTGCAGCGACCAACTTCTACTGCGTTCTTTTGTGCCATTGTTTTGAACATGCTCAAAACTTTGCAGCGACCATAGCGTCTTCGGCGATGCTTGATCGTTCTGTGCGCGATCTTATTTTGAAAAAATAATTGATTAATATGTCGATACCCTCGATGTTTCACAGCTGTATCTCGTTAAAAGTTTACAGAGCCATATTATCTGAGTAAACAGCTTAAGATCTTAATATTGAGCTGTTGTTGAGGTATATACGTGTGTAAGTTAAGTGTTTGACTGCACCTTACACCACTAGAAAGTACAAAAATACAATACATTTTTGAATCCGACCTGTCAAAAAAATTAGAGCACAAGCCAGGATTTACAACGAGATATAACGCAACGCCCTACTGTCTGCGTGCGGTTAATAATAAAATAAAAGATATAATCGGCTATTCTAGGGATATGTACCACTTTTGTGAATTTAAATAGCCAAGGAGGTAAGGTAAATAGAATTCCCGTACCTCGATTAGAAAGTATTATTTTGAGTATTATTTTGACTCTTGCAAAGTTGAATATCAAATAACCCCCCAAAATATGTATTTAGCTAGGCTGAGAAATGTGGTGGAGGGTAACATAAACAGAAAACAATATATCACGCACCTGCTCAGATTACTTAAACGATACAAGCAATACAGGTGATTTAAAGAAAGTTTATTTTATTTTTAAATGGTACATTAAGCGCACGCTTGTGTTGTGACTACGTGTATTTTTTTTTTTTTTTTTTTTTTTCGAGACGCACTTTTCTCTTGGCGATACGTTTTCACACTACTGACTATCGTCAGGTGTAGTCTTTGTTACTAAAAAGCCAGTGGTTTTATTCAAGTGGACCGTCCTGTGATGAGTGTAAAACATTTGGGATTGATAGCTATATGTGTGTGCTTGTTGGAGTCGGTACAGGGTAGGTACAGTGTAAGGCTGTAACTGTGTATTAGTTATGTAGAAATACTACAGATGTAACTGTTAACAAACATTTACTTATCGTTCTATTGTGGGATGCCATATGGTTCGTAAAACAGAAATATTGGTGCAAAGAGATCACCAAAAATACCTCGAGTTCATGTCATTTTTTTAAAATCTGAATATTCTGTGACAAGTCTTTAAAGATGGCATAATCAGGACTTTTCTGGTAATCTCCGTTTCTATCTTTTCTAAGTGAAACAAATTTTATAAAAATTAACAAGAATACCTGGAAAGAATTGGGAAATTTGCGGAAGTGGAAACCCTAAGAACTATCACTTAATTTGTAACGTGTTGAATAACTTCATGTCATGGGGCCTCCTAAAAGACTTTAAACTACTTGATTCAGAAGGAAAGTCTTTCGCAACCTGATGTAACATTTCTATTATTATTATTATATGAATCCGTTACATTGCAGGTGGTAAACTAAAATCAAATACTAATTTATTTACAAAAACACTAACTTTTAAACATATATTTTAAGGAAGCCATTTTTGTGGATCAACAATAAGTTGGAAGCCGTCCCTAACTGAATACAACACGGTAAGACACTTCAGAAAAAAGGGTAGGCCTATGCCAATTCCTTTATCGTGTGTGTGTGTGTGTGTGTGTGTGTGGCTGGGAGGAGATTGGAGGGATATCAAAAAACTAAATTAAAAACTTAATCATTAAATTAAAATGGTATAATGTATTTTATCCATGCTGAATAAAAGAATGTTCTATGGAGTCTCTCTGTACAAAAATCCGTGTAATCCAATAATTGACAAAACCGCTAGAAAAAAATCCCAAAATATGACCAAGTTATAGATGCTAAGA